AGCGAAAGCAACGGAACGATTCTAATATCATGGGGAACTCCGTTCCCATGACAAAATTAGGTAACATAAAATGCAGTCAGGTGGATTCTTCAGATCAAATCAGACCATGTTTCTTCCAAAAAGTTTTTTAGACTTGTATTATTACTACTTTGTCATTTTTAATTAGCATATTCATGTGTCCAGGAAAAATTTTCCAAATTGAGTGTGGATAAAAAATTCGAGTCGTATATGAAGGTCTACGAGAAATCTTACAGCACAAGTAAGGAGAAGAGGAAACGTCTTAAGATCTTCGAAGAAAACCTGCTCAAAATTGGTGCGCTCATGGCAAAAAGAAAAGGCTCCGTCGTTTACGGAATCGGCCCGTTCACAGATCTTAGCAGTAAGTGCAAGACAATCAGTAAGAATTCTTGAAATTTGGCAACGTTGGGCTTTGCCTTTGTGAATGGATGTAGGTGAGATAATCGATATCTATCAATTCTAAGTGAGAGAGACTGCCTCACAAATAACCAGTGTTCTACAATAGAGTTAAATCCAGAAAATTCGGTGCTGAAAATTTCAGAGAATCGCCACTAACCCCTGGTTATGCGACATTTCACCGCGAATTACGCTTTTTTGCTCACAAATCGGCCGTCGGGATACCCGAACCCTCCTGTTTTCAAAATGGCGGCGTTAGCACAAGGCGGATTCATGGGGACTTTCAGTATGTTCATTAGGGGGTCCAAGTAGTCTTCTTCGACACCGCCGCTAACGTCACTGCCCTGGTAAAAATTGGCAGTAGAATCTGTGTTCCAAAATACCATAGACTTACGGCCGGCTGTAAGATTTCCAATAGCTTCTATAGCCGGCTACACAATTTCTTATAGCCTTTTATAGCCGATGGCGATTAAGCAACTCACAGCCAGGCGATAAAGTGTATGCTAAAAGTCACTAATTACGGATGCTAGGACTTAGTGAGTTTTTGGACCACTGCTCTCTTTTTGAGCCGTAGTATCTTGATTTATTTTGCGAGGAAAGCTCCGTACTTTCGATGGATGCCTGCCATTCCTAATGTATTAGAGCGCCTTCAGTTTCGTATGCAAATACCTACTGTGCAGTACCTCTGGTGTGAAATAGTTGCTTCAAGCGCCGTGGCACGCTGCGGTGCGGCAGGCTGGCAGCCAGCGCGAAACGCGCATTGGCGCCTACAAACCTAACAGGGATACTTCACGCGTTGCGCAATGCGTGAAGTATCCCTGTTAGGTTTGTAGGCGCCAGTGCGTCGCCGCTCCGCTTTGTGTTAGGCTCTAATGTTTAATCTGGCGGAGTCAGCGTAATTCAACTCATGATTTTGAAATGTTTGCACATCCTGTATGGATTATTCTCGTTTTAATTGATGAAAAAAATATGTATCAAAGGAAAATATAACGTGTGTTTTGTAAATATTAAGGTGGTTCCGTATCAAACTTAATGATTTCCAAAGCACACGAATTTCTACACAATTTCTTATAGCCTTTTATAAAAAAGCAACAGCCAGGCGATAAAGTGTAAAGCCCGGCGATAGGAATTGTAGCCCGGCTGCATAATTTTGTATCGCTTCGTATAGCTCGGCCGTATTATATTCGCCGCATTCTACAGCCAGCTATATGCTTTTCTTTAGCCTTCTTTAGCCGGCTATAAGAATTCCTATGGTATTTTGAAACGCAGCTCTTATCGCCAATTTTTACCAGGGTGACGCTTTACAATTCCCGTTCATTCTTACCACCCTTAACTAACGGGCACATCCCTTCCTTCCCACCTGCATCTGGTTCCGTTTGGTAGATATACGTCAAATTAAGAGGCTTGGCTCTCGATATGGGTAAAACTCCGGTTGAATCAAGAATATTTTTTCGTGTCAAATTTTTCAAGAGTCTGAAGTTCTTGGACTCTGAATCCAAGAGACTTTTTTCCAGTGTGAGAGTATGACTCATAGAATGCTTTTCACAGGTTTGCTGTATCTATAATATTCGCGAAAGTAAATGACAGCTAAACATATTTACTGGGAGAATCTCTTATTTTCTTTTATAGTGAGAAACACCACGCATTCACAGTCTCTCCATCACACGATGGTGCTTATCCATCATGTTTTGAATGGGTCAGTTGCTCTCGTAGCAGATTTGTATTGGTGCTTGATTCTTCTAGATTAGCTAAAAATAATAAGATCCGTCCAAACAGCAACTCCTTAAGTTCAATATTAACCGAGATATCGCCCTTTGAAAAATCACGTGCTTGACGTCATCCGACGCGGTAGTGACACCCTCGCATTCTTCCATACCTTGCGATCCTCCGAGTTCCACGCTGAGTAACCAGTGCAAAGCATCACACATACTGATGAAAGCGAGGGGGAAGAAACCAAGAGCGTCAAGCTATGGCGAAGAATCGATTGTGAAGGTGTTCGTTGCGAACACTGTGTATCGATCCTTTTTCATAGGTTTAAAGGAAAGATCAATCGATATATCGCAAAGCAGGCCACGCCACTGGCTGACTGCTACACTGAAAAAAAATTCTCGGCGTTTCTACCAAGGTCCGTTGGTACCTTTACCATCTCACTTTTTTTACCAACTATTGGTAATTTTTCCAAGACAGATCGGTGAACTTACCTAAAAACCGGTATTTTTACTGATTTTTTCAGGTAAGAATACCACTTTTATTGGCAATCGATTCCCGGTAACTTTGCCATTTTATCTCGGTAATTCTACCACAGTCGATAAAAAAATATTGGCGTTTTTACCAAGGTCCTACCGGGAAAGTTCAATAATTTTACCGAGATTTCTCGGTAAACTTACCAATTCCATTAATGGTAATTTCACCAAGAAAAAAACTGGGATCAAATAGAACCCTGAATTCTTGGTAATTTTACCCTTTTCATAGTAAATAAACCGAGATTTTTTTTTTCAGTGTACATCATAGTACACCATACACCATGTTGAATAACCAGTGCATTTGCGTGACACCGACTAATGAAAGCAAGGTGGAAGAAACCAAGGGTGCGTCACTATACCGTGGTGGATGACGTCAAAAACCCGACTTTTCAAAGGGCAATAAGGGGGGGTTAATAATGAACGTAGAAAGCTATTTGGATGGATTGTACCATCTTTAGCTAATCTAAAATAATAAAGCATCAAAACACGATTTTGTTACCAGCGCAATTGATATACAGTAGATATCGGTTAATACGACATTCAAGGGGTCACGGGATTTCGTCGTATTAGCCGATATGTCGTATTAACCGTTGTCGTATTAACTTATGGAGTTTCGCCGGGGAAAACGAAATCCGTCGTATTAGCCGATATGTCGTATTAACCGATGTCGTATTAACCGATATCTACTGTATTTCCCCTAGAGTGTGCCTCACTCTCATTACATCATAGATTTTCACTGATTTTAGGGGAGGAATTCGTTGAAAAATACATCGGAAAGCAGCGCCCACCGCGCGACTTATCCGACGAGGACGACGAGAGCGGTCAGCTGCAGACTCGGATGTTGGGAAAAGGAAAAGGAAAAGGAAAAGGAAAAGGAAAAGGAGAAGGGGAAGGAGAAGGAGAAGGGAAAGGAGAAGGAAAAGGGAAATGGACAAAATCGAAATCTCCGCCGCGGAGGAAAACGACATCCGGCTCTCGATCTCGTGCTCGGTCACTGTCACCCCCGAGATCATCTCCTCGATCATTTCTCCAACGGACAGCTAGCGGACATCGGAGATTCCGTCCGGCCAAAGAATGGGATCCTGAGTATCTACCCGTGGCGAATGGGATGTCGCGTCGACGACACAACTTAAGAATGAACCCGGACCCAGACCCGGACGCAGACGCATTCAGCGAGGAGGGAGTTCCCATGATATTCGGGAGCTCCCCCATAGGGGACCCCATCGAAGATTGGCGGATACCCGCTCAGCTTTATCCTCCTGTGGAGCACCAGGTGTGTCATGATACATTCCTCTTCTTCTTCTTCTTCTTCTTCTTCTTATTCTTCTTCTTCTTATTCTTCTACTTCTTCTTCTTCTTCTTCTTCTTCTTCATCATCTACTTCTTCATTTTCAATTTCATTTTCATCATCATCTTCATCTTCACCTTGATCTTCATATTCATCTTCTTTTTCTTCTTCTTCTTCTTCTTCTTCTTCATCATCTCCATCTTCTTCTTCTTCTCCCTCTTCTTTTTCTTCATCCTCTTCTTCTTCTTCTTCTTCTTCTCCTTCCTCTTCTTATTGTTTCCATTTGTTTCCCTCCCTCTCCTTTTTATCTCTTTTCTTTTTCCTCATCTTCTTCATTCTCTTTCTCTCTGTCTCCCTCCATTAATTCTCCTTTCATCCAGTCTCTTTCTGCTTATCCTTCACATCATTATTATTATTATTCTCCTTATTTCCTACTAAGCTTCTTCATTCTCTTTTTCTCCGTCATCTTCTATTAGTTCTCCTCTTTCTTCCATTCCTCTTCTCGGCTACTTCCGTCTTATTACTCTTCCATTCCTTCTGAGTATCTACCCGTGGCGGGTGGAAGGTTGCGTCGACACAACTTAAGAATGAACCCGAACCCGGACCCGGACCCAGACGCATTCCTCAGCGAGGAGGGGGTCCCCATGATATTCGGGAGCTCCCCCATAGGGGACCCCATCGACAATTGGCGGATACCCGCTCAGCTTTACCCTCCTGTGGAGCACCAGGTGTGTCGACGTGTAAAGGGGGGATCAACGTGCTCAATGGTGATCCCTATCTAGGATTTGGATCAAAGCACGAAGAATGGAAATGTTGCATGTGTGAGGAATTTGCAATTTGACCATTGATTCTTATGTAAAAGTTCGCGAGAAACACGATGGTGCCACTGGTTTTCTCTGAGATCAGCTCCCAAGCTCAAAACAAGCTCTCGAGCTGAGGCCAAAATGGAGGGGATATTCCACCCTACCCTGAGAGTCCACCGCTACATCAAGACAAACTCTCCATGCAAAGATTGGGAGCAAATACATTAGCAGGGTTGCCGTGTTTTCAGTTTTGGAGTCCCCAAATAAAGTGGCAGCTCCCTGTCAATGTATTTGCTCCCTACCTTTGCATGGAGAGTTTGTCTTGATCGAGAGGTGGACTCTCAGGGTAGGGTGGGATATCCCCTCCATTTTGGCCTCAACTTGAGAGCTTTTTTTGAGCTCGGGAGATGATTTCAGAGAAAACCAGTGGCACCATCGTGTTTCTCCCAAACTTTTACGTAAGAATCAACAGTCAAATTGCAAATTCCTCACACATGCAACATCTCCATTTAAAGATTGTCATAGACGGAGGATATCTGTTACATTGCGTTGTCTGGCCTCGCCATGGGACATTCGGGGACGTTTATTTAGAGCTTAAGTAAATTGTGTAATCAAACATTACGGTTTTGATGCCACAGTTGTATTTAAGGGCTATCCGAAGAAAATTCCGTCAACACAGATGCGCTCGTAGGTTCCTTAGATATGATACCATAAAATAAGCAGAAATTTTATTAACAGCGGAAACCTCCGTAACAGTTGGTCGGGAAATTTTGTTGACTAATGACAAGAATAAATCAAGATTAATAATGCTACTAAGTATATTGAACCAAGAAAGAGCTAAGTTTATGCTCTGCAAGTGGAGGATGACGCAGTTACATTAATCGTTTAAGAAGCTATAAAAAAAGCCTCAAAATGGGACTTATTAGTGTTGTGAATTGCTCTTACTCTTGTGGAAGTGAACATGATTGGACCACTAGCCAAGGTACAAGTTTAAGCATTCTGATACATGTTTCTTAACCAGAATTTTACTTAGAACACGATTCGCGGAACGAAAATCACTGAAACTAACCCCTAACGGAGATAGTAACATTTTTATTTCACATTGGTTGCGAGGAATTTGAACTGCCCGCTCACAAGAAACTCAAAGCTCTACTTGAGTCGAATCGCGCACTACAACGGTTTCAGCAAGCTTCTCGATCGAACAATGTTCCTTTCCCACCATGTGTTTTTCAAACTATAAGTAATTTGCTGTAGCTGAGCCAAAGCGTCAAGATTCAGGATGCCAGATTTTTTTATCGCAGACACGCTCATGATAACGTTTAGTGCGCGATGCGAATCACGTAGAGTATTGAGTTTTCATGAGCGGGTGGTTTCAATTCACGCACCAAGAATCATTAAATATCTTTGGAAGGAGTTGATTTCGGTAATTTTCGTTATGCGCATCGTGTTTTACGTGAAATTTTGGTGGAGAAACATGTATCAGAATGCTGAAATTCGTGCCTTGTCTAGTGGTCCATTCAACTCGTTCTTTTCTGGACCTAGAACTTGTTTGTTACGTTCGAAACTTGGACTTCATTTTTTCTAAATTTTTCCTGAAAATAATTTTGTTCGCAGGACCAGGGCGATAAAAAATGCGGCAGCTGTTGGGCGTTCGCAGCTTTGGGGGCTGTGGAGATGCACTGGGCTATTGAAATGGACAGGGTAATTATGCTCTCAAAACAAGGTAAGTTTGCACAGTCACGTACACTGCTAATTCAATTTTCTCAAATTTAAAGCTTAGGAAGAAACAAAAAAAAAGGCAACTTCTGTAACATTTTTGTTTTCATAAAGAATACTGAGCACACATGTAGATTATCCTTTACTCCAACTTTTTCAGTAATCATCCATCCTTAATTTCTTTAGAATAATTAGGTCTCATTATTACGGACCCATACTCAAAAAACAAAGTAAAAATGTAATCTGGCATCCTATCTATAAAGTTTTTCATCCGAAGAATAAATGGATCGCATTTAGCAAAAAGGAACCAACACGATTACAGTGTTGTAAACATGATATTTCTTCAAAATTTTCTAGGAAAAAGTTCCAAGAATAGCAAATATGTTTTACCTCCTGTCAAAAAATTGTTAATTTTCAAGGAAAATGACACTGTGCAAATATTAATACTAAACATAAGTGATTTTAAAAGGAAAGAAGAAGTTGCACCATTTTGAAAACACACCGATCGCGCCGGTTCCTTGTGCTAAATTGGATCCAAGTGTAATGCATTTTTCAATAGAGATGTTGCATGTGTGAGGAATTTGCGATTTGACTGTTGATTCTCACGTAAAAGTTTGCGAGAAAAACGATGGTGCCTCTGGTTTTCTCTGAAATCTACTCCCAAGCTCAAAAAAAAGCTCTCAAGTCGAGGCCAAAATGGAGGGAATATCTCACGCTATCCTGAGAGCCCAACTCTACATCAAGAAAAACTCTCAATGCAAAGATACGGAGCAAAAACATTGACAGGGCTGCCACTTTATTTGGGGACTCTAAAATTGAAAACACGGCAACACTGCTAATGTATTTGCTCCCTATCTTTGCTTGGAGAGTTTGTCTTGATATAGACGTGGACTCTCAGGATAGCGTGGGATATCCCTCCATTTTGGCCTCAACTTGATAGCTTTTTTTGAGCTTAGAGTTGATTTCAGAGAAAACCAGTGGCACCATCGTGTTTCTCGCGAACTTTTACATAAGAATCAATAGTCAAATCGCAAATTCCTCACACATGCAACATCTCCATTATAAACCACTATTTCTGGCACATTTTATGAACAACGTATTATGCTACTAATTACACCATGGGGATGCGTGATTTTACGGTAGATTCAGTAACATTATAGTTCCTTGTTGCAAAATGTAGTCCTCTCGCAAAAATGTAGAGTGGAGCTATGACGATCTTGCTTCGGATGATAGCATGGACCTTGCGACGCACAGTGGATCGAGACAAACAGTAGGAGAGGTTGGACAAAATTTGAAATTTTTAAAAGCTCAGAGCTCCATCTAAACAAAATGTTGAGGTTCCAAAAGTGGCTCCATTGGTTTCCTCGTGAAATTTTCTTCGAGGAGCACCCCTTAAAATTCAAAATGTGACGAAATAAACGTCAATATTTGCAGTTTCAGTCAAAAATTTCATGTTCGACCTCGTTAAATTGACTCGATCCATTGTGCGACGCACAGTGCCGAGACGCACTTTCGAGTACGCCACGAAACTTAGTTCGCCTTCAACTGAACGAGTAGGCGAAATTCGATAGCTCGCGTTAAAATAGTTGTATTCTTCTAGCTTGCACGGCGTTATTAAAGGCTTTAAATAATCGAGCATGGCACCTAGTACGTGGTCTGTCCGGAAAGTATCAGGACTTTTTGATTATCTCGGAATGTAATGCATATAATGAGCTGAAACTTGGGTTGGACTTTGCCAATGTCCATTCCAATGCAGCCACACAATCGGGCTTTCACACCTTTAATCATTCGATTGCAATTAACTGATCAAAGTGTGTGTGTCAAGTGCTATCGTCGCGTTTTTTTATTTTTCGTGAAATGACCGAGCGTGAAGATCAGAGAATTTGTATTAAATTTTGCTTTAATCTAGAAAAAACTGCCAAGGAGAACATGGAAATGAATCGGAAAGCTTTTGGCACTGAATCTATGAGCAAGAGCAATATTTATGAGTGATATGATCGCTTTAAATCGGGTCGTGAAACAGTCGCTAGTGATCCGCGGTCCGGGAGACCTTCGTCGACGAATTCTCCCGATAATGTGGAAAAAGTTCGGGAAACTGTTGCCCAAGACAGTCGGTTAACCATGCGGGAACTGGAAAAGCAGCTAAATATCCCGAAGACCGTCGTTGCGGAAATTTTAACTGAAAAACTCGGGCTCCGTAGAGTGGCAGCGAAATTTGTGCCAACGCTCCGGCTCATTCCTCCTGTCTTGTGCAACAGTTTTTGGGCAAAGCTCGGTATTCCTCTGGTTCCACATCCTCCATACAGTCCTGACATAGCTCCTTGCGACTTTTGGCTGTTCTCAAAGATGAAATCTCCAATGAAAGGGACTCGATTTGACTCCATCAATGACCCAAAAGAGAATACGACGAGAGCGCTGAAGGACATCCCCAAAGGAGTGCTTTTTGGACTGTTTTGAACAGCTCAAAAATCGCTGGAACAAGTGCATTGTGTCTTACGGAGAGTACTTCGAAGGAGATTAAAGCCACAATGTCATAGGTAAGCTCGATTTCTCAAAATCTAAAAAGTCCTGATACTTTCCGGACAGACCACGTACATACATTACTCGTGGAATACAGTTTGCGACGGTTGGATTCACACTCTTTTTTAAGATTGCTTAAATTTATCACAATCAAAATTTACTTTAAAAACTCAGAGCTTCCCTTTAGAGGTTGTGTGTTCCTTTGCTGAAGAGGACGGGCAGCGAACTCGTCGGAATGTGTACCATAGTGGCTTGGCGTGCTTTGCGATATATCGATTGATGCACCATTTAAACCTTTGAAAAAGGATCGATAAACAGAGACTTAATTTGCAACGAAAACCTTAATAATCGATTCTTTACCCCGATTTCAAATGGTAAAATATCGATAATCGATCATTCCCACCTCGACACTGATGCTTACGGTGTATTAAACAAGTGAGAGGAAGCCCTGAGTTTTAATTTAAGATCTTAATGTATTTCAAACTTTTTCTGTTTTTAAAATTTTAGCCTTTTTTCCTGATTAAATTTTGCGCGACTTGAAAAAAGCTTGATTTACGTCAAGGTTTGGGGAAAATGACCGGGTTATTCATTTTTTCTGCAACCTGATCGTTGAAAATGTGTGTGAGAGAGATATAAATTCTAACCCTGACCAATGCTTTGTTTGCAGCATGCCTAGTAGTCTATTCCATTTTATTCTATTCGTCTCATTTTTTCTTTCTCTTTCGTTAAAGTCTCTTGGCAATTTGAGTGCATGCAATAAACTGCAAAGTAATGAACCGAGAGTAACGAGTAAAGTGAAGTTTTAATTCCTGCCCTATTTACTACATTCTTGCCTTGCCGCTGATGTGCATACGGCAGATAAAACAATTGAGGGGAGGCTTTGAAGTTTAATCTGAGATCTTAGCGCATTTTAAACTTTTCCTGTTTTTAAAGTATTATAGCCTTTTTTCCTGGTTAACATTTGTGTGACCTGAAAAAGGCTGGATTTTCGTCAAGGTTTGGAAAAAACTACGGGGTCCATCATTTTTTCTGCAACCTGATTGTTGAATATGGGTGTAGGAGATGTCACCACCTTATCCGGCCAAAGTATCACAAGCGCCATGCAACGTTTAAAAATTTCCGCCGCCATTTTATTTTTTTACAGAGAAAGTTCACGAAGCTGGTCCGAAAATTTTGCTGATTTTCTTTGTGCTGCGGATAAAATTCAGTAAAATTTTCAAACAGATTCAACCCAATATTTCTGTGTAAAAAAAATAAAAAGACGGCGGAACATTTTAAACGTCGCATGGCACTTGTGATACTTTGGCTGGACGATGATGTATAAATGCCAACCCTGTCCAGCGGCCTGATTGTCGCATGTCTCGATCTAGAGGTTTATTCCATTTTATTTAATTCGTATCATTTTTTCTTACTTTTTCGTTAAAGTCTCCTAGCAGTTTAAGTGCATGAATTAAACTGCAAGTTTAATTTTAATGAAGGAATGTGAACAAAGATGCATTAGATCCAACCGTGACGAGTGATCAGTGGCGTGGCGTGGATAATCGATTATCGATATCTCGCCATTTGAAGCTATGGTAAAGGATCGATTACTAAGGTGTTCGCTGCGAACACCCTGATAATCGATCTTTTTTCATAGATTTAAATGGCATAACAATCGATATATCGCAATTCACGCCCCGCCACTGCGAGTGATCGATTTTAGAGAGCGACTCGATACTTGAATCCAAGTCAATGTGACAAGACATAACCAGGCCCTGTCTTAACCATGCAATAAATCGCATTTCGATGTCTTACTACAGGGTTATCCAAAAGTCACTGACCACCCCTGTAACTTTTTTCCAAATTGAGATAGAAGTTTGAAACTTTGGGAATGTTCCTCGGTCTAAAGTAGCGACTTTTTGGTCCCCCCAAAATTTTGGGGGGCGGAGGCTAACTTTTTTTTTCAAATGGCAACCCCCCCTTTGTGATACCTCATTCGAAAGATAATGAAAAAAGAAAATTTTTGGCGCAAACCGCAAGTCAAAATGTTGATTTTTGACAAAATGGCGGGCGGTCAAAGTTCAAAATGGCGGAAATTTGGCATCCCGTTTTTTATAGGCGGATTGGTCTGAAACTCAGAATCTTAGGGTTTTTTGGGACGAGAAAGACGATTCTGGCATCGGTTTTCCAGAAAAGTCAGTCCTTTTCAAAATGGCGGCGGTCAAAATGGCGGCCTAGAGCGAGAAGTGGATATTTACGCTGCTTATCGTTGGATTTGCATGTAACTTGGTATCCGGGGGTATTTCGGCACGAGAAGAACGAATCTTTCATTGGATATCTGAAATCCCGACGAATTTCAAAATGGCGGCTAAAAAGTGGCGATAAATCAGTTTTACGGCTGTTTACCAATGGATTTGCATGAAATGCGATATCGATTATTTAGTATTTCAAGAATTAATGAAAGATTTCTTTTTATCCAGCCAAAAATCACAAGGATATCGAATTTCA